ACACGAATACACGCTTTTCGTGAAAATCTCCATTCGCGCCAAAAAACTCACGAACGTTCGGCTCATTTCGCTATCATTTAAAGCATTTTCGCACGGAAACTACCGAATATATATTTCATGTTTAAGCTCATTATTATCTGTATTCACTTTTCTGTTCGGTCATTTCAGCACCTAACTATTCGTATGGTAAAATTCACGAACACCATCTTACTAATTTACATGCGGTTATTTCTATTCTTTTAAGCTAAGCTTGCATTAGTTCTAATCACACTATCCTACTATTATTTATTCCTTCTCATCAGTTTTGGTTACATTATCTGGTTAACTACCAGCCCTGGGTTTTCCTACCTGGTTAAACCATTTAAAGTATTTTTCTGTAATAAACATAATATTTTACCATGGTTCATAACTTCATACGTGTCTAAATACAAGCTATACCATTCTTTCCAAATAACACTCAGATAAGTCATTTGAACTCTATTTACAAGTTATACCCATTACACATAATCCGTACTATTCCTTGCACATAAATCACGCTGTCACATTTTGGCTTTTACAGATTGCATCGGTCTCTTGCTTTTCTGCATAAAGTTGTTATTTCAAGGTCCTTTTATTACAGGAACAGGTATGGTTTATTATCACCTTGAGTTTTCAGGTTTTATCTATTATCTTCACATCTATTGCTAAATATGGAATTTGTCTTGGTTAAACCCTTAGATCCTGTATTTATCTAAGCTTCCACCGTTTCTACGCAGTTAACCTGCCACGATTAAACAATCTCTGTACTTAAAACCAAGGTATAGTTCACTCTCTTTACAATACTAGACCTCACGCGGTCTCAACTCCATTACTACCTTCCCTCAGGCTTACGCCCAGGATACGTTATCTCTTTACTACTTGTCTACACAGACTTTCGGTCATACGGCCATCAGGCTCAGAAGACACCAATAAACCTGACCCGGTACTCAGCCATACCTTCAGGTACTTACGTCCTTACTCAAGTACGTCCATTCGCTATCCAAAGGCCTCATTCTGCCTTCTCACTCATATCCAAAATCATCCCATTCCTACACCTTAACCTCCCAGATCCCTCAATGCAGGATCTCACGTGGTGCCCCTAACAAACCTTCTCCCAATACTTTTCATACGACATCACGATACGTATAAACACATCAACATCTGTCTTAAACCCCCAGGATTCTTCCTCAAAGACAACATTAAAACAAGACTCTCTACACTTATCAGGAGGCTCCAGATACCTTTCGCGACCAGTCAAGGTTAGTATCCGCACACCACTCCAGTCCTCTAACTTACCCTTAAGCATACAATCGAACTGGCTATACGGCACAGGCTAATGCCTTAGCCCACCCTTTCAGGAAATCTGACCCCGCGAGG